CAGGCAGGCGGGCAGGCAGGCAGGCAGGCAGGCAGGCAGGCAGGCAGGCAGGGGCAGGCAGGCAGGCGGGCAGGCAGGCAGGCAGGCAGGCAGGCCCGCTGAGGTTAAGAGGCAATCACTCAGGTCTGGGAGCGGCACGGCCGGCAGCAGGACGGTCGCAAGGGGCTCCTCGGGGCTCCGCATTCAAATTGGAACATTGGAGACGCATCCTCTCCCCGGCGGCCCCGCGGCCCCGGCCTGCAGGCTGATTCCGGGCGGCGCCTGGGTCGCGCTGTCTCTCTCGCACCTTCGCTCGTTAGTCGGAGGGGGAGGGAGACAGCGACACTGTTCGGAGGGGCCCCGGTGTCGTGGCTGGCGGGGTTGGCCCCGGCTTACAGTCGGCCCGTCTCCTTCGTCATAGCACCGCGCCGCCCCGCCGGTCCCGCCAGCCTCAAGCGGTCTCCCGGCGCTGCGCTTCACCCCACTATCACTGACGGGCCAATATATCCCGCCATCCCGCCGCCCACAATCACTACCTCGGCCTCAACGCCCACTGGCAGACTGATTCCGAGAGTCGTCTTCGTCGCTCTGTCTCTCTCGCACCCAAAGGCAACGCCCCAGCATGAGCGCGAGAGGGACAGACCGACGGATCGGTCGGCTGGCAGCCCTGGCGGCGGGGCCGCGCGCGAGTCGTCCGGAGGAGGCGGTCGCCACCGGTGACTTTGGCCGGCGATCCCGCCCAGTGTGGTCGTCCGTCTCTCTCGCACCCACGCGGAACCTGTGTGTGCGGAACGTCCTACGGGTGCGAGAGAGACCGACCGCGCGGAATGACCCTGCAGCGTCCCAGTTTACAGTGCCGGAGTGCCCGGCCACCTCCTCGCCGGTGCCCTTCGCCTTCGCCTGGGCGCGCTCGCCCGGGCCGGAGGGGATCCTCTTTCGAAAGACAGGAGCGGAGAAGCCCTCCTCGCACAGTGCGGCACACACGGCCAGCGGCCCTTGCTCCTATTTCACACACACACACACACACACACACACACACACACACACACACACACACACACACACACACTCACACTCACACAGGGCCGGGGCGCGGCCAGGGCCACGACGACGGCCGTCTTCGCCCCTTCCGGTTGTCCACACTTTGGGTGACGCGGCGACTCGAAAAGTTAATGTTTGCCCACCACTCTTGGTGGCTCAGCCTCCCGGAAGCGGCCGGCGCCCCTCGGGCCGACCCCACCCCACTGCTAGCTCGCTGACCATCAAGCATTCGGTGGGATGAGGCGGAGACGGCCGGGCGTCTATCTCTGGAAATCAGGCGTGGCGGCCGAGGCGGCGGCCGTGCCGGGGGAAGCGGCTGGAAGTAATGATTCCCGGCGCACATTCGCATCGAAACGAAAGGCGCGGCAAGGCGGAACGGCGGAAGGCTCGCCGATGATGCTCGCCGTCTTTTGTTTGCAGTGTGTCTACGTCTTCGGCTTCGCCGCCGTGCCGCTGGGCGCGGAGCTCAGCGAGGTCCTTACTTTTACCGCGCAACTGCGGCGCTGCTGGGATTTGAACCGTCGCCCGCGCCGCGCGCGGCTTGACGGCGGTCCACTCGAGAAGGAGAGGCGGGTACCAGCGCACAGTGGGCCGGAAACCGGCGGAGGCGGCCAAAATTCCAGACGCGTTTTGAGCTCCAGAGTCGCTAAACAGGACTCGAACCGAACGTGTGACCCCACCAATGGATTCCTCGTCCGGAGAGCAATCCATTGGTGGGGTCACACGGTCGGTTCGAGTCCCATTTAGCGACTCAGGAGCTCAAAACGCGTCTAGAATTTTGGCCGCCTCCGCCGGTTTCTGGCCCACTGTGCAGCGGCGCGGTGCGACCGACTCCCAGCGGGCTGAACGGTGCTCGCGTCGTCGCTCCGTCTCTCTCGCACCCGAGGGAACGCCCCGTGAGTGCGAGAGAGACAAAGCGACGAAAGCACCGTTCGGAATCAGACCGCTGGGCGGTTGCGCTGTCCCGCGGCTGCTCGACCGGCCGCCGCGGGGGTCCTGGACCTTATTAAGTTTTTATACTGTCTGAAGGCGCCCCGCCCCACCCCGCCCCGCTCCGCCCCCGACCGCTTGATGAGCTGGATAAATCGTCTTTATGGCGCTGCGCGGTTCCGCGCGGTGCGGGCCCTGGCCAGCCTTGGCTTGGGCGGGTCGGCCGCACCGGCCGGCCTAGCGGGGAATCCCCGCTGCACTGCCTTCACCGTCTTAGAACGGCCCATTCGCCAAAGTGCCCCGCCCCGCCCCGCCACGCCCCGCCCCGCCCCGCCCGTCCGACTCGGCCGGGCGATAGAATTAGCATCAGTGCCAACCGCTCGGCCGTCCGTTCAGCCGTCCATCAGTGGCGGACCCACAGCCGGCATGAAAAACGGGGTAGTAGTGCGTTTTGCCCACGCACATGGGAAAAGTGTTGTTTTTTGTCTGTACCTTCCTGACGGCTATTTAGTACAAGAAACAGGGGGCACGGCAATTATCCTTCCGCCTCGAAGGATTCGCCCTCGCCATCCATTTCGGCCATCCGCTCGGCGCGCCGATCAGCAAACGGCCGAAAAATAAGGCGCCAAGATAAACGGCCGGCCACGCGCGGGCCTCGAGTCACGCGCCTACTTGTTGTTGTTGTTCGTTGTTGCTGATGGTGTTGTTGTTGTTGCAGAAGCTGGGCCCCGCGCACGGCGAGGAGCTGGCCTACGTGTTCGGCGCGCCGCTCGCCGCCACGGTGCGCGCCTTCCCGTCCAACTACACCAAGGCCGAGGTGGCGCTCGCCGAGGCCGTCATGACCTACTGGACCAACTTCGCGCGCACGGGGTGAGTTTACGGTGTAGCGGCGCGGCAGGGCGTCCCGCCATCATTTTGTTGGCGCACTGTTCGGCACCTCGCGGTGGCGGGGCGTGCGTGTGTGTGTGAGTGCGTGTGTGGGCGCCTCCACAGCCATTCATGACTATTTACACAGCAAAACGGTGGCCATATCCGGGCGACAGACGCGCTGACAACGGCTTGGCGGCGCGCCACCCGTATTTCTCGGCCGGCGCCACGGCCAGACGGAGCAGCCAGCCTGGCAGGCAGGCAGGCAGGCAGGCAGGCAGGCAGGCAGGCAGGCAGGCAGGCAGGCAGGCAGGCAGCCAGGCAGGCAGGCAGGCAGGCAGGCAGGCAGGCAGGCAGGCAGGCAGGCAGGCAGGCAGGCAGGCAGGCAGGCAGGCAGGCAGGCAGGCAGGCAGGCAGGCAGGCAGGCAGGCAGGCAGGCAGGCAGGCAGGCAGGCAGGCAGGCAGGCAGGCAGGCAGGCAGGCAGGCAGGCAGGCAGGCAGGCAGGCAGGCAGGCAGGCAGGCAGGCAGGCAGGCAGGCAGGCAGGCAGGCAGGCGGGCAGCCAGGCAGGCGGGCAGGCAGGCAGGCAGGCAGGCAGGCAGGCAGGCAGGCAGGCAGGCAGGCAGGCAGGCAGGCAGGCAGGCAGGCAGGCAGGCAGGCAGGCAGGCAGGCAGGCAGGCAGCCAGGCAGGCAGGCAGGCAGGCAGGCAGGCAGGCAGGCAGGCAGGCAGGCAGGCAGGCAGGCAGGCAGGCAGGCAGGCAGGCAGGCAGGCAGGCAGGCAGGCAGGCAGGCAGGCAGGCAGGCAGGCAGGCAGGCAGGCAGGCCCGAGACGTTGACGACAATCCAATTTGCCTGCATGCCCGGCCAGTAATGCATCCTGGCAAGCGAAGATAAGAATGACCGGGCAGGCCGTGGCACAGTGGGCCAGAAGACTGGTGGAGGCGGCCAAAACTCTAGACGCGTTTTGAGCTCCAGGGTCGCTAAAAGGGTCTCGAACCGAGCGTGTGACCCCAATGGATTGCTCTCCGAGCGAAGAATCCGTTGGTGCGGTCACACGTTCGGTTCGAGTCCCATTTAGCGACTCTGGGGCTCAAAACGCGCACTGTGAGAATAAAGTACGGAAAAAGCACAGAACATGTCTGGTCAATAATTTGCCTGGACCGTCCGTACTTGCCAACTACGGAACGTTCCGTACTTCTTTTCCGTACCCATTTATACATGGGTTCATATGGAGCAAGTACGGAACGTTCCGTACTTTTCTCCGTACCTCCGTACTATATTTTTCTGTACAATTTCCGTACAAAAGTACGGAATTTTTTACAGTGCGTCTAGAGTTTTGTCCGCCTCCACCATCCTTCTGGCGCACTGTGCGTGGGCCGGCCCTGGCCCTGCCGCGGCCGGCCCGCCCCGCCCCCTCCACGCCCCTGCCGGCCTGCTGCGACGGGGGCGTAGCCCGGCCGGGGATTCCCGATTTTCGGGCGACAAAAAGGCGAGGGCGGCGGCGGGAGTCGAACCCGGGACACCCCGCTTGGCACGCGCCACGCATTCGTTAGGGCCGCCGAGGGCGGGGCTGCGGGGCGGGGCGCGAGCAAGGCGTCGGAGGCGCGCTAAGCAGTTAAGCCCTCTGAGTGATGGCGGCCCCGGCGCCAACAACGACGCCCAGGTGATGAGGGACGTTCGTTGCGCCGAACGCGTTGCTGCCGAGGACGCCGAAGATGAAGATGATGACGGATCGCCGTGTCTGCCGTTCCGGTGCGTGTGGTCGGGACAATGCGGCGGTGTTTCGATTGGCATCGTGTAATACATTCAAGGCCCCCCCCCCCCTCCTGTCCGTTTTGCTCGTGAATAATGTTGCCAGCCACACTCCAGCAGAGCCCGGCCCGGCCCGAGAGCCCCCGGCCCGCTCCAGGCCCGCTCCAGGCCCGCTCCAGGTCGATCGGATCAAACCGACCGCACAAGTCCCTGGCCCGTCCCGGCCATCCCGTCCGTCCAGGCCGTCCCGGCCACACGCACACAATGGCCTCAAGGAGCCCCTCTCCCCTCCCTCTCCCTCTCTCCCTTTCTCCTCTTGCCTTATGTGGCCCTCACAGCCCGCCGCACTCTTAAATCCCTCTATTTGGAAGCTTTCTATCTGGCGGCGTGGCTGGGGGTGGGGGCGGCCACTCAGTAACCTCCCCCCCCTCCCGCCATTTCCCCAACGCGGCGTTACGTGATCCGACGACCACCCCTTGCACCGAGACGCCGCCTCGCCGCGCCGCCAAAAAAAAAGAAGAAGAAGAAGCAGATCCTCGACGAGTCATTGTTCCATTGTTCCCCTTGTTCCGGGGATTGTAATTTACCGCGTCCCCCCCCCCTCCGGCCCGCCCCTGTCCAGCTTCTTGGGGGCGACGGCAGCGCGCCAAAGGGCACCTCCATAAAACCTTTACCTCCAGGACGGTCTTCTCCGCCTCCTCCTCCGCGTCGCGCTGCCGCGTGCTGCGTACCGCCCAAACACGCCGACGGCGGCCTCGTCCTCCGGGCATCGATAACCGCTCTCCACTCTACACGGCCCCGGCGGCGTCCTGGCGAGGAGAGCGGTCCGCGCCCGGGGCCGTTACATTCAAAAATTATAAGAAAGGCTTTTCGTGAATATTTTTTTTCCTATAAGCACGTCCCTGTTTATTTTCATACAGCCACCTCTTCCCCTTTTTTTCCCTCAGTAAATGAATTATCCCGCGCTTGCATTGTCACGTCGCCTCTCTCTCTCTCTCTCTCTCTCTCTCTCTCTCTCTCTGTGTGTGTGTGTGTGTGTGTCGCTGCGATTGTCATACCGAGAAACCCCCAGCAGCCCGCCCTAAAGTGTGTGCACGAACCTCTTTTTCCCAGTGTTTGTGGGTGTAAGGATGTGTGTGTGTGTGTGTGTGTGTGTGTGTGTGTGTGTGTGTGTGTGTGTATGTGCCAGCTTGCTGCGGCAACAATAATATTATCGCTGCAGCAAGCGGCCACCCTACACTGGCAGTGTGGGACCGCGACGACATGGCAGACACGGCCTCCGTGGCGAACGCCGTGCGCGCAGGCAGCGCGGCGCGCAGCCGCGTTCGGCGGGACTGCCTACCCGCGCGATCGCAGGCGCCCTGCAGACCGATTCGGAGAGTCGCTTTCGTCGCTCTGTTTCTCTCGCACTCATGGGGCCTCCCTTATAGGTGCGAGAGAGACGGAGCGACGCAAACGACTCTGAGCCAGTCTACTGGAGGCGCACGAAAAATACTGAACTCTGCCTATGTTTGTCGCTGTCTGTCTGCCTGCGTGTCGCTGTCCTTCTGTCTGTCCGTCTGTCTGTCTGTCTGTCTGTCTGTCTGTCTGCCTGTCTGTCTGTCTGCCTGTCTGCCTGCCCGTCTGTCCAGCCGGCCAGCCTGAGCCCGAGAAGGAATTCGTGTCCAGGGCTAGTGACCCACGTCATCCCTTTGAGGCCAGAGCGCAGCAACCCTGGGCCGCCGAAATGAACTTGTCTCGGAACCACAACATGTACTGCAACCCTATGCCGTCGGACGACTCCCTTGGGATTGGATTAAGCCGAGGATCTGAAAAATTAATTTACGGTTAGTTATCTAAAACAGTGGTTTTCTCCTGCCCGGAAACAAATAGATTTTTTTGCAGTTCTAGGGGATTTTAAATTGCACATGTGCACGATACGTGGCCCGGCCTGCGATTCCCTCAAACCGACTCAGAGCCGCTCTGGGTCGCGGACGGCCCGGATAGGGGGTCGCTTTCCCGAGAGGTCAACGCGGTCTTTGCGGGGCAAAGCCTTTCCTCGGGACTCATAAGTTGGAAGAGGGGATACACTTTTAGAAAAAAAAAAGAAAGAAATATCACAGACCTGGAAGCTTTTCCTGCTCCTGTAATTTTTGTTTACATCCTCTGGCAAAAAATTCGAATGAACTCCGAGCGCGGCGTCACGCCATTTACAGATTCGGAAAGTTTCCTGGTAAAACTCGTCGCCGACGGGCGAAAAAAAAATGAAGCTGTTGTTATGTGGACGTACACACTAAACTTCTTACGGATACATCCTATCTGTATTACGGACATTTTTGTGCAATTGCAATTACGGATAGATTTTGCCTGTAATACGGATGAAATCATCCGTATTACAAAGAGTTTTACGTCCGTAACATACAGACGAAAATATCCGTATGGTACGGACGTAAATCTCTTTGTAATACGGATGATTTCATCCGTATTACAAGCAAAATCTATCCGTAATTGCAATTGCACAAAAATGTCCGTAATACAGATAGGATGTATCCGTAAGAAGTTTAGTGTGTACACGCAAAATAAAAATACGGAGAGCATTTCAAATTAAAACGTGGACAGCATTTAAAGGCTGCAACGCTGGTCCGAGCGATTTCGGCTTCCAGCTAATAAGCGATGCCCCACCGCAGACTGATTCCGAGGGTCGTTTTCGTCGCTCTGTCTCTCTCGCACCCGTACGGGACGCCCCGTGAGTGCGAGAGAGACAGCGACGAAAACGGCTCTCGGAATCAGACTGGAGAGTCGCCGGGGACGGCTGGGATTAGACGCAGGAATTATGAATGGAGTGGGTGGCGGCCCGGGACTCGCTCCGTCTCTCTCGCACCGCCTCGGCGCGCCGCGCGAGTGCGAGAGAGACGGAGCGAGCGGCCGGGCTGGCGGCGCAGAACGGCGCGGG